AACAAAATCCAAAATTTTCAAAACAATTGCTTAATAAGAGTCATACATCCGATGATATTATGTTGGTAAATTACCAACAACTGACTGTAAAACATATCTGGTACCTCTATATATGCAATTAGAATAACATCCAAAGTCCATCCCTATTTCCATATTCTGTCCATAATAGTCAAAAATGCATGACAAACCGAGTGACACACATCAATTTTGCGTGGTTCTACGTCATACTGCGGTCGTGTCTAGGACACAACCCTTTATTTTTTTTAACTAGTTCGTTTATTTGGAAGGCTCAATCGCGTTAGCTTTACGGAGTTCTTTGCATGAGATTCGAACACTGGTCATTGGCGTGGTAGACGTATTACTTCCTAACTAGACCAACTCCACTTGATAAAAGTGTTATTACTAGTGTCTGTGTTATTAGTATCTATCATGTTCTTGTCAATGACATTAAAATTGTATTCTCGGGCAACACGCCTTCGATCCGACATAAAGACGTTTTGTAAGCAGCAAAGCGTACATTTAATTGTCAGAGTGTTATTTAAATGTTTTTTTCAACTCCTTATAAGACAACCTGCACCTTTTCAGTTGTATTAATTTATTAGATGTCACAAAAAAGTGATTTCCATATTTTTTTTTTGTAACAAACCTCCGAAAACCTCATAATAAACTGTCGATTACTGCGAGAAGAGACAGTCCGGTTCAATGACGCCGTTAATGTTCACGCCACTCTGGAAAGTACAGAATCTCTTCAAGAACTTTATAAATTCAACTAAGATTGAATTTTCCTAAACGAAAAGTATTATAGTGGTATTGAAACAGTAAGATGCACGTTTAAATAACATTTAAAGATAAAAGCAAAAGAAGACTATTTTGGAAAATGTGGATATCTAGGAAGTATGAAGAAAACATCTTTAAACCTGGGGGCGACCCCGGCGTAGTGGTTAACATCCATACCTCTCACGCCAAAGTCACGAGTTCAAATCTCACCCCCGGACAAGTCACGAATGACCCAAGAGTGTTAAAGTGACTATAATAAAAAAAAAATCTTCAAACCTTATTTAAACGTAGGATGTTTTCTGCATCACTTATAATAGATTTATACAACAAGCCGTTCTAATTCTTTTTCAAAAAGATGTTTTATGTGTTACTTGGGTAGGAAACCCGAACGTAGAAAAATATGATAGAGCATGGGATCTATGTGTTATCCTAGACTCAAAGCTTACCTTACCCGATCATTATAACACAATTATTAACAGACATCCTTGGTTTCATGAAACGTTTCTGCTATAACTTTCACCATCCGTATGCAATAAACACATTTTACATTGCTTATGTAAGGTCGAAATTAGAATATTGCAGCATTGTTTGGTCTCTTTTTAAATCATACATCAAAAGAGCGTCATGAATTTTCTATGATTTCATTCGTAAACGATATCGTATAACATCGCATTGATTCAATAGAACTATTGTCATCCTCAAATGTATATACTATACACCATCGAGGCATTTACGAAATAGCACATAGTAAGCACTACAAACCACCATCGTACGAATTTTCCCAAACTTGGACCCTTGAACCAAATGATGGGCACATACAATAAGCACTGCGATAACATTGACTTTATGCCGTGGATACACTTGTATGACAAACAATGAACATGAGCCTTATTTGTATAATAAATTATTAGCACATCCATGGTCACACTTGTATAGTTTTTGTATAGTTTTGTATTGTGCTCATAATTATTATACAAATAATGCTTATGCTCATAGTTTGTCATCTAAGTATATTCGCGGCATTACAATGACAAAAAAAATTAAAGCAATATTTTAATTCCTCGCGTAACCTCAGCTAGTAGTAGTTTTTTTTTTAATTAGTTTCAAGACATATTATAATTTATATACCACAAACAAAATTGTCAAAAATAGAACTTAAGGAAACTTTTGTAAAATGGTCTACACTGATTGATGACATACATAAAATAAAAATAAAATAAAAATAAAATATAAACAAATACGTACCGTAAGTAGGGTGGCACTTTGCAAAAAAAATATAAAAAAAACATCGTACCCTACCTTAAAACATTCACATTTTAGCAATGAAAGCAATTTAAAGTACATGTATGATATATGATATATTAACGACTGTCATGGAAATGGTTTATTGAAGTTGATTGATGTCTTATTTTACTAAAATTAAATAAAAAATACCGATTCGAATATGAATATGGCATTAAATCTGGTTTTGAAAGTTAATGCACAGGTTAATAGTGAGGTTACGGGACGTCGCTGGTATTTTGTTATATTTTCTGTGTTTTAAGGAAATACCTGCATACATACATACATTTTGCATTTCACTACATATATTACATAAATTATACATTGCATGATATACTATTACCTTTAGCTTAATATTTCAGTTTACCCAAGCAAGTCATCGAAATTAATATGAAACAGAAGCATTAAATAATATTATATGTTTATAATTATTAAGCAGGTTATTTCTCGTCATGTTAGTTATTCATCACAATTTTTAGCATTATTGTTAGTATCATTCGAGCAAAATATATATAATTGCTTAATATATCCTATACATTTCAGTGTTGCATCCACCTGTTGTGAGCTGAGGAGGTGTAGAGCTGCATCTTATTATATGTAAAATACTTCTTCATTGCAGTAGCAACTATATTATCCATATAAATGTATTTCATTATGTCATATTTTAATGTTCTGATATATTTCATTTCTCCATTGCATATATTTTTATTATATAAATAAATACTGGGTTGGGAGGGAGCATCAGGGTATCATTCAAACTGAAACTGGACGATGGTATGATTGACAGCCGGAGTCTAGGAGGGAATAAACACTATCATTTTCTTTATCCTACCGATTCGATTGTGGTGGTGTGAATTCTACTCCAACAGTTTCAGGGCATTGACGCGCCCTTCTTAACAAACCATCCAGTAGGAAGCTTAATAAGTATTGCGAATTGTGTTATTCGATTTGTTGGAGCGTATCGTTGGAAAGAGATTCTTAAATTCCCGTGGATTTCGCGTAAGTGTCTCTGCTTACGGGTCCACCCCTCCGTTTTTGGCCCTTCATACAGCGATATAGTGAATTCAGATCGGTAGCTCAAATTGATCTTGCTATTAAGTGGAGCTGCATACAAGACAAGTCTTGAAAGGATGGTGGCTACCTTACATACATACATACATACAAAATTAAATAAAAAATAGACCAACGCAAAACATTATGGGGGGTGACATTGGCCAAAACATATAAGTTTTGACAATTTGATGTTTGAAGCCACAAAAGTAGTTGTGACTATTTGACAATTTTTTCATGAACTAATTTGTCTCCAAGTCGCACACTAATATCCAAAGTTTACAACTTTCTCTTGATGAGCTTTCAGTCCATTCATAGCAAGAACGATGTTTTCGGAAGAGTGTTCAATGGGGCAAAAGTTCTCAAACATAATGGCAGTTTTTGAAAAAATTTGCCACGGCAAACCTTTAAATACCCCATGAATATCTGAACGACATGTTTGTGTCCAAATATTATCAGAGCTTGGCAAACAGAGCTTGGCGAAAAATAACAGTCGAGTATTAGTACAAGACACTGAAGAAGTCTGCACATTGTAGACGAAATACGCGTATCTGTCAAGGATAAGCAAATAAGGTAGTGGAATTAAATGGAAATGACTAATCTTTCTCTCTCTCTTTATACAGGTATTCCACTAAGACGCTCACATTCATCAGGAAACATAATCCAATCAAAAATAGTGTCTTCCACAATAAATGCAATAAAACAGACAAACAGACGAAACACTTCATTCTGGATCATCGTTCACGCATTTAACGACTGATTTGAATATTATCAATTCCGCGAACTCCTCACCGCAGCGCTGGCATCGGATCACTTTGACGTTTCTATATATTCTTTTTACCTTGCATGCAACATTGTTCGCCAGTTAACGAACTAGCTTGTTTTCCGCGAGAAGCTCGAGAGCAAATCAAAAATGCTCTCGGATTTCCCGATCTATTCAGAGATTTCTCAGTAGAATTCCATATTAGTTCTGAGTACTAAAAAGGTGATTGTGACGAAAACTTCAAACGATATATAAGGATGGCTTCCAAGGTGCAGAGGTCCACGTAATTCCAGGTGAATTTTAATAATAATTCCAAGCAAGTTCTGGAATGATTTCCAAATAAGTTCCAAAGAAAACTCTAAAGAAATTGGGAATGAATCTTAAAATGAAATCTAATTAAACATCCAAGGTTGTTCTTATATCATCCAAAATATAAATCTAGGGATGAAGGAAAATATATTCGACGTGCAGAATGATGAGCGCTTGCTTCTCACCCTTAGTCCATCCGTATGAGCACGCATCAACAGTTTATTGGATAAAACCCAGCTTCTTGAAGTAAATAAAATTTCGCTTACATCCAACGTATGGTTGGTTGGTTGAATTAAATGATATTATAAACTAGCCATTCTTTTTTTTCTAGATTTTAAAACTTGTTCTAGGAAAATAGAACAGATTTCTTATTTTGGAAGTATTACGAACAGTTTGTAATTATTATTTCTGTTATATTGACGTCACATGACATACTCACACATTTTCGCTGCTGCTGCTGTACCTTCACATGACTGTACTATCTTTCATTACGACTGCTTCTCGGGACGACCAAAACGTAGCGCTGGAGTAGCACAATACGCTTTACGTTTGACATTTGCTGCATCCATACGCCTCACATACATACAGCTGCTTTTGCGGAACTGAAGTGGTGGTGAAGTGATCAACATTTTTTGGGAACATTTAATTTTTCCCGATGACCTCAAATAATTGAACAAATAAGACAATTGTATTTATTTTGAAGTGTTTGATTGTTTACCTATTTGTTTGTAACATACAATTTTGTAAAAGTAAGTCACTTTATGCCTGGTCTTGTAGCTTCAATCACCTCGCGTAGAAATCAGGCGTTGTCAGTTTCATTTTCGTTCGTTCTTCATTTCACCGTCCAGCAGCAGAGAATGTGAAAGAAAGAAAGAAAGTGAAAACCTTCTTTATTGGAAAACATGAGTCAAGCGGTGTTTGGGAAAATAGTCTTTTAATCATACTTAGCTTCTAAAAAGCTATCTAATGTGTGCAATAAGTTACATTACTCACAGTCATTGATTGTTAGAATAGGTTTGATGAATACATGACGTTTGATGTATGTTTCGATTAAGCTTGCATGAATCAGTTGAAAAGCGAAATTGCACTTTTCCATGCCTCCTCTCAACGCTTAATTGACTGAAAGCGAGTGAGATTAATTAAAATTTTCTTTTCCTATCGTGTACTTCAATTCATACAAACGGGAAAATGAAACGTGACCCGGTATCACTCTCCTTTGACCAGCAGAGCGCAAATTAATACGAAAGGAAGAGACTAATTCAAGATTATTCGTATAAATAGAACATCAGTATTTTTGGAATCGATTTATTGCCCAATCACGTTCAACTTAAAGTATAGCATGTAGGAATAAGCGATTAACAAATATCTTACTGTTTTTCTTTTCCCAGATGGCTTCAGGAAGACCCATTAAATGCGTTGTTGTTGGAGACGGAACGGTGGGAAAGACATGTATGCTCATTTCATATACAACCGACAGTTTTCCCGGCGAATACGTTCCCACGGTGTAAGTTTCAGTTCAGTTTGGCATGATCAGAGGGCATATCAAAAATAATACGCTTGAATAGTCATTGATTTCCGTTTCTTTTCTTCAAATCATACAGCTTTGACAACTATTCTGCCCCGATGGTAGTGGATGGAGTTCAAGTTTCGCTTGGATTGTGGGATACAGCTGGACAGGAGGATTACGACCGATTACGACCACTATCGTATCCACAAACGGACGTGTTTCTTATATGTTTCAGCGTTGCTAGTCCATCGTCATTCGAAAATGTTACTTCCAAGTGGTATCCAGAAATCAAACATCACTGCCCCGATGCGCCAATTATCCTTGTTGGTAAGTGAAAGATGAACTAGTACTGCAACAAATTTTAATTTGATGAGTGAAAATATGTTCAAAATCGCTACACTCCTATACGTATATATGACATTTACTACTTCGATCGACGTTACTTCGAATCTATTTCTAAATAAGGTACACTGGGGCAAGTTGAAACGTTTTTTTTTTTAAACTTGATCTTTGAGGCTCTCTGACATAAACATAAACCCTATGTTTTTTAATCAAAAGATTCGTGAAGCGTCTTCTATCATGAAAATATATTGAATTACAATTAAGAACGAACAAACTCACATTTTTATAAAGATAAATGTTATAAAGTTAAAACATATATATTAAAGCACATCTATTTTCTCAATGTAGTGTCCACTCATTTTGCTCAATGAAATTCCCTGAGTTTCCAGCTTTCTCTAGGACTTTTCCGAAAAATTATAGGTTTTTATAGCATACATATAATGAATTTACATACTTATACAGCTGTGTTCGATAAAATACTAGCGCATGCTGATTTTCATACAAAATGGTCAACTTTGACATGATGTAACTTTGTTAACTTATGATCAATTGAGCCAAAGAACTACAAATATGTTCAATTTTATGATCACAAAATATTAAATTTTTGGAAGCACCTGCCGGAAAGTGAGACACCAGGAAAATTTGTTCCAAATAATAGCAGTTTTTTATTTGAAAATCTTCGACGTGCTGCAAATATTTTAAACATTTTTAACTATTATGTACATTTGTTAATTTGGTGTGAATTGTTAAAGTTTTGAGATGTGTAAAATTTAAAATATCAAAATTAAGCTGAAATGAAAATTATTAGTACTGCTATTACTTTGAACAATTTTACCTGGTGTCTCACTTTCCGGCAGGTGCTTCATAAATTTAATATTTTGAAATCGTAAAATTCAACATATTTGTAGTTATTTGGCTCAATTCTTGAAAGAGCTGGAATTAGGGCGTAACAGCTTTTGTAAACAATGACTTCTCTAGATGATTACTCGAAACTCAAGGCACGCCCACGCAAACCAACATAGCCAACGGGAAGGGGAAATTTTCCCTAGAAATACTAGAAGGAGAGATGAGCGGAGAGAACACACTAAGATTTTTTTTTACAGGAGTCAGTATTTTTTTACTGGGTTTTTGAATTGCTGAAAAAGTCGGTAAAAATTCAAATGACCGTTATCCATAAGGAATAAATTAAATCGACCAATTATATTTTCTATCATTAAATGGGGTTAACAGAACTAAATATGTACAAGTTCAGAACAAATTTTCTCATTAATAAATTTTCCACAGATTTTTAAACTTTTACCGATTAGTTCCGCAATTCAAAAACTCAGTAAAACCGTACTGACTCGATTAGTGTGAATGTTTTGAGCCAAATGAACTGTCAAAATCTGAGCCAAACGAACATTCCCATTAGATTTTTTTCCGAGGATTACTTATTCTTACTAGATTAAATTTGAGAGTATTGCAATCGAACAGAAATTCAATCACCTTTATGGTTCGTGTGCTTCTCAAATTCAACTAGTTTTTGGAATCAAAAACAATATTCTAGCTCTATTGATTAATTGATCTTAGTTGGTTAATTAATGGCAAAAAATGAGCAAAATATTGCGATGTAATCAATTATTAATTTACACGTAAATCGAATCAAAAGTAAAAGTCATGTGAAATGCTAAGTTTAAGTAAGGGTTGCAAGATAATTTAGATACAAATCCCTGCTGCCAAATTGTATTTTGTTTTCTCCACCCAGCTCTCCCTCTGTGTATTTCTAATCTTCCCCTACCCGATGGCAACGGTGATTTGAGTAAGCTAGTCTTGGCTTTCTAGAAATCATATAGAGAAGTCATTGTTTACAAAAGTTGTTTCGCCCTAATTCCAGCTCTATCTAGAATTGATCATAAGTTAACAAAGTTACATCATGTCAAAGATGACCATTTTGTATGAAAATCGGCATGCGCTGCTATTTTATCGGACAAAGCTGTAATTATTACAAAAAATCCTGGTTTATAAATCCTTTGTTCTATAACAGATATGCTGCTATTTTCAGTGCATAATTTCACAACAAAAAACCCACGCATGTATTATGGTTTTCCAAGTTTAATTCATTTGCTATTTCAACATTTTATGTTAATAACAAACATGTGTAACCAAGGGTGTAGGGAACTGCAAAAGTTTGAAATCTTAAAAACATTTTAAAGTTTACCATTTAGGATATTTCTCTTAGTTTTGAATCTTGAAAGTTTCTCATGGTTCAGATCCAAGATTGATGATTTTTCTTAATCCATCAGAATCAAGAGAACTTTTAAAGCATGAGATATCAAATTTCGAAGTTCTTCGTCTCAGAATTAGGATTTTTTTAATCTTATACCTTGATTTTTCTCCTGTGATCTCGAAAAAAGTTCTATGTTTGTATCATACTGATATCTTTGTATTTATACACAGGATTTCTTTATCATTTTCTCAAGGATTGTTTGAGAAGCATCTCAACATTTCCTCAAAATGCATCTTAGAATCTCTCTGGCATTCCCTTACAATTTGCTCCATAATGCTCTACAAATTGTCTACAGGAGGCTCTTTGATTCACTCTGCATTTCTCTTAAAATTCTTAATTGTGTTCGCTTTATTACCTTCCCAAATTCTCCTGAAATACACTCTCCTCTGTATTTACTTATAATCCTCCTAAAATTTCCATGGAAATAACATTGAAATTATCTCTAAATTTCTAGTTGTCAGGTGAATATCTTGAAATGCTCCTCAGAGTTCCCTAGGAACTCTTCTTTGAGTTTCTTAAAAATGATGAATAGCCCCAGTATTCCTTTGAAATTTGTCTCAAAACTTAATTGGAAATTTTCTAATAACTGCTTTGGAATAAATCTCCGAATTTGCAAAGATTTTGTTACAGAATTCCCTTTGGATTATCCTTATTATCTTTGCATTCTACTCACAAGAACCATGAAGTGCTGCTAACAAATTTCTTTGAATTCTAGGAACTCTCTTGGATTTCTCTTTGAAATTAACTTGGGATCCTCCTCAGAGTGCTGTTGGAACTCCTACTAAGAAGCTCCTTGGAATTATACACATAACTACCTTGGAATTCTCTTTACGTTTCACCTGGAATCTAGAGTTCAACAGAACTAACCTGAAAGGAATTCTCAGATTTCACTTCAAGTTCTCCTAACAATTCTTCACTTGGCATTCTGCTTTGAATTCTATGAAAATTATCCCTGAAGTTCCTTGGAAATTCACGTCAAATTCTTTCATAATGATCCATGAGCTGTTAAAGTTTTGTAAGGCCCTTATTTTTTTAAATCTGGGTTCTTGGAGGTCTGGAAGTCCGACGACTTGAATATTTATTTTCGTTCGAGATTCTTTCCAATTCTGATTGTATTGGGTGCAGGGCTTAAACATTTGTAGAAATTATCCATGTTTCAGCACCCTAAACTAACAGTTTCAGTTTCAGAATGTATGTTGTTACTGATGATAAATGCACTCCACAAATATTACGATCATAGAATAAAAGCGAATAACGAGGATAATAAAAATTTGTTGTAAAATAAAATGTTGTGAAATGCTTCAAAAGGTTTCTCGGCAAACTTCTTTATTTTCTATTCTTTTATTTTTTGTTAATTACTTTATTTGTACAGGCTCAATCGAATAAACTTTACAGAGCCAAGTTATCATTTGCGTTATACATTATTAATGTCTTAAATCTAAAATTAAAAGATTTGAACCAAGTACTCGCGGTCTTCTCGAGGTTTGTGGATGACAATTGTATGGATTGGGAGAGGGAGAAGGAAATTTGAAGTATGACTAATGATTCAAAAGTTTAACTGTTTTTAAAACATATACTAAATTCGATCAACGCATAAACTGGAAGTTATGCTGGCCAATTAAGGCACCAGCAGCACTTTTTTGGCAGAGATGGCCGGGAATCCATTATCGACGTTTCATTCTTCAGTCCGTCGCTGGTGGCAAACATGGATTGGAGAGTGCATAGCAACCATCAGGCGATTCGATATGGCATCGGCCAACGGAATACTGTGGCAGTACGGAGGGCCAGAACTTGTGACCGGAAGTAGAAGACGAAGGTTTTCGACAAGGATCTTTTCGTTGAGGCATGTGGCATGAAATGTGTCGAGAGGAGGGTACTTGAAATGCCGTCAACAGAGCAGTCACGCAGATTATGTCGGACCTGCAGCGTAAATGGAGAGAAGATCAGCGATCCAGCATTGCCAGCTAGCGCTGAGAGTATCAGAAGGGGGGATCCAGGCAGAGAAGAGAGTAAGGAGTGGAGCTGTACTAGGCAACTAGTGGATACCACACCGTGCCAACTACACTACAGGCCAGGCTTCTTGAAGCTTTACTAAACCTTACTTAAAAAAAACACACACACACACGCACACACTCACGCCAACAGTAATGGAGGTAACCCAAATAAACCTCAACCATTGCGACACTGCTCAGGACCTGTTGTGGCAATCGACAACAGAAACAAAGTGCGACGTTGCAATCATTGCGGAACCGTATCGAGTCCCTCCCTCTGAGTTTTAATTCTTCGTAATATTTACAGTTTACAGACGGCTGTAGTGATAATATTAAATTGAGGTAATCTTTGCGAAAGTATAACCATGTATCATTTGTTTATTGCAGGTACTAAAATTGATTTGCGTGAGGACCGAGAAACGTTGAGTGCCCTTGCTGAGCAGGGACTATCGGCACTTAAACGCGAACAGGGTCAAAAGCTATCCAACAAGGTTCGTGCCGTAAAGTATATGGAATGCTCGGCACTGACCCAGCGTGGTCTGAAACAGGTTTTTGACGAAGCAGTCAGAGCTGTCCTTCGACCGGAACCGCTCAAACGACGTCAACGAAAATGTGTTGTGATGTAAGAAGAAGTCTTCTGATGAGATTCGCAGTCTACCGAAGTCTCTTGTATATAGGATTAAGTAGTGAGAAAGGAAACAAACAACAAGCAAATTGCATCTAAACAATACTCAAAACCTTAGTTCAATGAATCTCTTTGTACGGTTTTAGAAACGAATGCAAAAGTCCGATGAACAATAAGTCCCTAAGCAACCAAATACTAGGCCGACCTTTTAAGCAGTGCAACTAAGAAATATTTGGATTATTTGAAAACATTTTTTTGTGCCATCGAAACTAACTGCGAACGTAATGTATGAGCAACATTTTTATATGATATCCGTATACCTCACGCCTCGTTAAGACCAATATTGATTTAACTTCTTTTGAATTGAAGACTGTTTTTCGAATCTGATATATAATAAACAGAAATGCGATAAAACAAAAGATAAAAAAAAACAAAGCACCAATTTTACCTGTACTCAACGCTAGCGCCCAAAACAAAGTTCTGCCAAACATAAAACATAAATAATTGAAAAAAGTCTAATCGCAAGTTGATGAACAGTGGATCGAGTTCTGTAGGGCCTATCCGTAGGAACATAAAATATGCATAAGTTTGCTATCAAATTATAAAATACGAGAGTTGGCAATGTCAATCGCGGAACGCTTGATTCTTATCAAGGAGCATTAGTTTGAAGATTTCAAATGACAAACCGAAGTCATACTTGCTTTAAATACATTCAAGAGGTTTTGTTAAAATGGCAGTCCTAATCAATGAACAAGGCGAGATTTGTTTTAGAAAAACAAATGCTTACAATTTCACGACTCATAAAAAACAAATATTGATATCTATATTTGCCTAATTTTATTAAGTTGAACACATCTGCATGTACAAAAAACGTTTTGGCAGGTTTTTATCGTTCAGTGGGCTTGACTTTCTTGACTTGAAATTTTACACCACTAGTAACTGAGACTGAGAAGAAAGCAAAAAAAAAACGTTTCCCTAAAATCATTCTAAATACCGAAGTATCTTTTCGTAGTGACACACAAACTCAATATGATGCGTTCCAAAACCCAATAAAAGTGGAACCCGTTTTTATAAAGTAAGCTTTTCGTTTTTATCTGCTATTTTGGTTTCGGAATTGAGCGAATAGAGAAAGAAATGTATATCTAGTCAGTAGTGCTCCTCAGAAAATTTAAAATGAAACAATCTGATAGAAACCACTGATGGCACTTATCAAAATAATAAGAAGGTTTAAAACGAGCAAGAGTCAACAAAAGGAAAAAGTCAATTTCTGGTTTTGGATGATACATGAAAAAATAAAAGTCATATAGTTTTCCGTTCTAAAAATATAAGTATACATATATCATTTGCCGTGTTACAAATGATTTTTATTCATACGCAAAATCAAAACTGGTTTCGTCATATCATTATAGATTATTATGAATATGTGTATGGTAGTGTAAATGCAAACTGGCTGGCACAGCACAGTAGCCAGTAATTAGCATCTTTATTATTTTAATTTTGATAATGGTTAACATCACGTTCGAAAAAAGAAAACATTTCAAGAATCTAAGGAATCTCAATCATTAGAGTACATTAAACTAAAATTACTGAACCATGATGAAAAGTTGTCGATTTAAATTTATTTAAGATCGATTTTTCAAGTTGTTATGGGATCTTTTTTCTTTACTGTATAAGCTTTGACTCATATCCTAATGAATTTCTTTTTTCGAGTGTGAAGGATTATGATTTCGACTACAACTTACCCGTATGCTTTTACCTAAGACAAAAACTGGAGAGTTCACATCGGATGGGCAAATGTGCAGGCTAATAAAAGTACTAGTATCTATTTTGTTTTGGTAAAATATGTATTTTCTGTACTCTTTTTTTTTGTTTACTCTAATTGACATGACACATGAAACATTGTACTCAAAAGCAGCTACTAATTTTATGCTATATATTTTTCTAGGTTTTCTTCTTGGTTTATAAACTACGTTTAGCATTCTTAAATTTCTTTTATAATCGTATTACTAATTACAATAACTTTTTTGTATGATTGTAGCATATAACTATGAAATATATATACATATATATATTTTTCCCGAAAATATATATTAAAATCCTTTATTACCATTAGCATGATGACATTCTAATACACAGTATCATCTTCGATCTTGAAAAGATTGCCGTAAAGTACCAAGATTCTGCGCCGCACCTAATTACGCACGTTTTGCCAACATTTTGTAGAATATTATATATATTTTTTTAATTTATATTTTTTTCCATATACAAGTGAATAAAACCTATCTACATCATCAACTCACTTATTTTGGAATTAAAAAAATCTGCGCAGAATTATGGCACTTGTCGGTATTTCAAATTAATACTAAAGGGATCTTTTTGTCATAGCTCGTTAAATTTATAAATACGCCGTGTCCGAAGTGGCGGATTGTGCAACTTTCATATGCCTCTGGTTTTTCTTCACCAAAGTTAGTTTGGGTGCTTCCATTACTGAATGAATCGCTTGAAATATTCTGTCTGGAGAAATTGGAATTATTGAATTTTATCATGATTTTCCATGAAAATGTTAAGGGCCAGGGAAAATCAACAGATATAGGAATGTAAGCACTCAAACTTACTTCTGGCGAAGAAAAACTCGAGGTACAAGAAAGTTGGATAATCGGCCACTTTGGACACGGCGTGTCTCATCTGCTGCAACACTTCGCGTTCAGATTGCAAGACGTTTAGATCTGAAAATTTACCTCGAGGCTTGTAATCTTTGATCAAACACTGAGTATGATTATAAGTATGTACATTAAATTGTGTGCTAAGCATAGGTTTGCTTGAATCATGTCCTTAACGGTATATTTAAGGTGGTCGCAGTTTTGGGTTTCTAGTTATTTGAAGATGAACGTCTTCAAAATATTACGAAACCCAAAACAGGATATAATTTTCTACCAATCCTTAATCCTTACAAAATTTCACGTTCTATTAAATTATAGACTTCGAGAATAATAATTTCTCGCATGAATTACTTCATTTACCGATAAAGCCTAGTCATGCATACAGTTTCCAGTTCAAACATGATCAATGGGTTCTGATATCAAGATAGATAGATAGATATCAAAATCACTACTGGACAGTGGAAGATGAATTGTATATACATATATGGAAATCATCGATTTGCGTTGTACGCTTCAATTTCTGATAACAATATAGGAAGGAACTGTAACGGAGAGGAGTTGCTAAGATCAAATTTTGGATAGGTTTTTTTTTTCTGCTCAGCGCCTTCTTTACGCTATGTTTTGAAATGCTAAATTAGCAGGAAAATTTATTCGTTGCCTGGTAGACTTCCTAGAAAACGTTTAAAATTAAATGTTCCTTTCTCTCAATTGAAATGATTGGGATGATGCCTGCTTAAATTTAAATCCCCATTTAATTTTTAATTTTTTTAGTTTAGGTAACATGCGCAATGTGGTGCTTACACCATTATCAAAATTGTTCGGGAGAAGCTTTTTTCTGTTTAGGCAAAAAGTTAAATTTTCACCGCATTCCAATCGATAATTATAACCCTAATTGATATCATCAAGCAAAATGATGTCAGGAAAAAGCGATTTTTTTTGCAAAAAATTAATTTTGACAGTGTCGTTTATAGTAGGTGCATAAATAAGTAAAAATGCAAAAAAAGTGCAAGTTGGCTGTAGTGGTGTATGCATCACTTTGATGTCACACGATAGTTTTAGTTGTTTGTGATACACTAACAATAGAATGATTTTACAGATCAGGATTCGTAAATTGCTTTTTATAATTGAAATCGTCAACCGGGCTACAAAATGATGAGCCAACAATCTGGAAGGAGTATGATACCTAGCTTTGCCCCTTGCAAGATCCTATCTCACACCTCCACGAGTCATATGATAACAAACAACTACCAGCTGGAACATTGACATAGCTGGGTGACACATAATGGGGCGATTCCAATCAAAAGCTGGTCAAGCATAAAAACGTCTTTAAATCAACATAAACACCAATCCAAATCTATAGTTTTTTTTTCTGCATTACAACTTGTAACACGAGAGATACCTATGTATCTTTAATAAAAATACATATATAATTTTTATTTTACACAAGCTAAAATATTAAGAAAACAATTGGTGATCGCGCCCGGGAGAGATCCCTACGTTGTGTTTATTTGTTTATCTCTCAATTGTTGATCCCGATCGAGACGGATGGTAATGAAAAGCACCGATTGCTTCGCCGTCCTGCCATGGCGGAGGCATATGAGACACTAATTTATTGTTGCTTTGTTTTGTATATTGTGTGGTACAGTGGGTAGTTGCACATATAGATGACATTGCACAAACATACTCCCCCCCCCCCAAACCTACGGTTTTCTATTGATGCAAACAGGTAATCATGAAACGACTAGTATTACAAAAATACATACAATGGTTGCACAAACTCTGTTGAAATGAAGACTCTGACACTGACATTGAAAACAAATACGATCGTTGCTGAAGAATCCGTCATACGCACTCGCCCCAAGTTACCAAAAGTTCTGATAAAAGGCTATTTATGGCTTAAGCAGCTTGGTTAGTGGTGGTCTGTAGAATTCTAAGCAGCCTCATTTTTAAGTCGTTATATGAACTTGAAAGTTCCGCTATCATAATTGAAGAGCATTCTAAGCAGCTTCTGGCGGAACTTGAACGGAACTTTTAGAAAATAAATTTAAAAAGGTTTTTGTCCTCTACACCAAAATTCTATGTATAGTTCGCACTTTTATGAAAGTTATTTCTAAAGGCAGGTGTTAATGTGTATTGATTTTATCAGCATTAGTAGTAGAATTGGAGCTGTTTGAAGAATTAAACCCAGTCCTTCTGCGTGAGAGGCCCAGCACGAACCGCTGCGTCATCTGAGATATAATAAAGTGAGCTGTTGTCCCGCCTACTTGAATACGAAACACAACACCTTGATGAATTTTAAAATGGTGTTTGCCCGCATGGAATTCCAACACATTTGTGGCGCAGTGGTTAGCGTCCATAGATCGCATGCCGAATACACGGAATCCAGGAAATTACTTTTTAATTATTTTTTTATGTTTG